AATACACAGTTGCTGCGCTTTACAGTACATCCTGTGAAGGTTTTTATTGTTCCGGGACGTCCTTCTGACGCGAAAGGCGCTGTATCCAATGCAAACGGTTATCGTTGTCACTACGACAAGGCGTTGCCAAACAAACCGGGGAGGGGCGGAAGGGGGGGGGAAAAAGAGAGCGAGCGGGTGAGTGAAATATTACTTGTAAACATTGGGAAACGAGAAGAAATCGACCTCTCTCTCTCTCTCCTGATTTTATCTGTATAAAACAGGAATAATAATCCTTGCATTCGATTCAGCGCCACTCATCACATCGTCCAGACGTCTCAAAGCGCTTCGCGGGGTACACCGTAAGGTCTAAGTGACTGCGTGTTCGGTGGGAGAAACGCCTCGGAACGTTTGCTGTGAGCAGTGGGGAGCGAGCGGCAGTTTTGGAGCTGTTACCAACGTCCTCGAGAGTTTCATTTCATAAGTAAACAGAAGGAACTGAGAGGAACCTTCTCTTCTCCGCTCCCTCCCCCACCCCCCCGGCTTCCCGCGCCCGCTTAAATAAAAAAAAAAACCACTCGCTGCTAAAAGTCCAATCATCTGTTGCCAACATGACCTACGGCTCTGCTGGTAAATGGGAAACAGATGACAGACGCAGACTGTATTAATAGAAACGTTTCCAATATCGGTCGCGTGATTTGATAACAAGTACGGCTTGTGCCAGCCCGGCCGTCCAGCCTCGGGAAGGCCCACGGCCACACAATGGCTCCCTTTCATGGCCGGGAAAGCGAGCTGCCGTTATCACTCGGGGGACGGGAGAGGGTCTTAAGAAGTCATCGGCGAGGCTCAGCGCACCGCATCCGTGACCACTTAGTGCTGATCACCCCACCGCCAGCCTCGAGGACGCTCTCTCTCTCTCTCTCTCGGCTGATTCTTACTGTGATGTTCTCCGCATTCGTCACAGCGACTGCCGACGTCACAACATCTCGAACGGCTCGGCGTGTAACTGCCCGCTATCGGCTGAGTGGGACCGGAGGCAAAAAAAAAAAAAAAAAAGAGGGAGGGGTGGGGGGGAAGAATATAATCCACGAATGTTTGCGGGTGACACAATTTCTCCCACAAAATACACCGTCAATTCACTTTACGGTACATTCAGTGGAGCCAATTAATCCCACCCCCTCCCCCCGACCCCCACCGCGCTCTCTCCCCCCACACATAGCCCTGCAAATTTGTCCTGCCCCGGACGCGGCTCAAAGCGCTTCACAAGCTGTACCGTAGAGCGCGGTGACTGTGTCCTGCGTCGTCTTAGCGCACGGCGGTTAATGTTGCCAACAGCCCACCCCGTTACTGTCAGTCGCTGTCTAAACCCTCAGGAAAATCAATGTCAAAATTGGCCATAACTTTCGATATTTGACCCGCTCGCTGCTGATGGAAGGCCGTCGACCTGAAGCGTTAACCTTCTCCCCCCCCGTAGACGCTGCCTGACCTGCCGAGTGAGCGCTCCCAGCGACTTCTGCGTCGATTTCGCTCCCCGCCTGCCTCGTGTGTTGCTCGGAATCGATCAGGCCAGGCCGTCCAATAATTCGCAGGCAACTTGCTTTCCGAAACAAAGCGAGCCGTTTGCACCCGATACCCTCACTTTTCTCCCTCCTGCCTCCTCGCGATACGCCCGCAAACAAAACAGGAGCAATAATCCGTGCATTTTGATACGGCGCCTTCTCGCTCCTCCGAAGCGCCTCGAAGCGCTCCACGGAACAGACTGTGAAGTGAATCGACTGTGTGTGTCCCGCGGGCCAGCAACTGCGCACGGCCGCGTCTCACAAACAAGTCGCGGGTTATTATTATTATATAAAATTATTATTTTTTTTCTAAATATCCCCAGCAAGATTGGCACACACACACACACAGACACAGACGCGCTCACAAACACACCGCGAACCCACCACAGAACACACCGCAAACCCACCTCGAGTCAAGTCAAGCTGCAAACTCCGCTAATTTGATAAACCGTCGGTGTAAAACTAACAACGGGATCCAAAGAGGGACATTGTCAGTACTGTCAATATTCAATCCCGCAGGAACCAGGTGTAAGTCGCTCTGACCTGCGGAAACAGCTCCCAACGCTGCAATCTCCTCCCAGGAGCTCGGAAGAATTGGACGGTGGGGGAAGAAGGAGGGAAGGGGTCGGGAGCGAGAAAGAGAGGGAGAGAGAGAGAGAGAGAGAGCAAACAAGAGAGTTGCTGTACTGCACATTTCACCCACAAAATACAGTCAATCTTGGCGGATAGATTTCTGTTAGGTCGGGGTATTCCAGGGATATTGGGGCAACGGCAGGTAATTGGACTTGAGCTAAACATCAGCCGTGATCTTAGAGAATGGCGGAACAGGCTCGGGGTGCTGAATGGCCTCCTCCTGTCCCTATGTTCCTATTCCACCTTTGCATTATATTCTGTGACGGGCTTTGAGACGTCTCGAAGATGTGAAGGCACTACCTCAAAAGGATTATTATGATTATCATCATTACTACTACTATTATTACTGAGTCTCGCCCACAAAAATATATACGGTCAATTCACTTTACAGTCTACTACAACAACATTTCATTTGCAGAGCGCCTTTCACGTCGGGAGGACGTCCCAAGGCGCCGGACAGTTGGGTCGGGACCCGAGCATTGGGGGGAAATGGTCAGGGTGAGGGGAGGGAGCGAGGAGGGGGTAGAGAGTCGAGAGCGGAGCTGAAGGTACGGTCAAAGAGAAAGGTCTTGAGACCGGCCTTGAAGGAGGAAAGGGAGGAAGCGGCGAAGGCACCGGGGGATGGAGTTCTGTGAAGCGCTTTGAGACGTCGAGAAAGCGCTATATCAAATGCAACGATTATTATTATTATTATTATTATTATAAGTTCTAGTTCGGGCCCATTTATAGCATTAGTGTGGGCACCAAAATCATAGAGCCACCCTGATACAGAAGCACGAATCCTTTTATAACCGGCCCACACTCCTCAACTGGAGACGAAGAGCAACAGTATGACTGTCACATCACACACGAAGGAAAAGAAAGTGAGGCACTCTGACTAACTCCAGCCTTCGCACACACTCCCACCGGGACTCGGCACTGTGCACAGCGGCCGCACACTCACGTCACGACTCAGATAATGGCCATGAAACATACCGGAGGGAGAGAGGGAGGGAGAGAGGGATCAGATCTTCGACACGATTCACTGTAAAGTGCAGCGACTGTACTTAGCGGCTACCAATTTGCTCACGGCTCTGCCCCGTCCCCGCCTTGAAGTGACCGTGCCCGACTTTAATCGCGCGGGGGTGCCTGTGTGTGTGTGCGCGCGTGTGTGTGTGTGTGGTGTGTGTGGGTGGGGGGGGGGGTGCGGGGAGGGGGGATGAATGGTCAGCCAGGACACTGGTGGGGAGAAATTCCCCTCTCTTTTCGAGTAACGCCGCGAGCGATCTTTATCGTCCGGAGGACCGGGGAGCAATAAAGCACGGTCGAGGAGGAGGAGGGGGGGTGGTGGTGGTGGGGGGAGTTGGGGGGGGTCTTGAGATGGGTCTCGAGGGAGATGGAGAGCCTCAGCCGTGAACTGGACGCCCCGACCCGGGAGCTCGAGACCTTTGAGGGTCACTGACCGCATGACCGCGGCGCAGAGCAAGTTACTCGGTTAAAGGAGACCCGAGTCACCGAGTCCCACCGTCCCCACCGAGTCCCTCACCGCCACCTACACGCGGTAACCGGGCCCCCGGTACACGGGACGTCTCACGTACCGTCTCCACACGCGTACACTGCTCCTTGGGCTGCGCTTACTGCCCTGTGTACTAACGCAACACCACCCTCCCCCCCCCCCCCCGCCCACCGCGCATACACACCTCCCCACGTACCCGCGGTCTACACAGCCCCGTACGGGCTACCGACCGTACGCGCGCGCGCGCCCGCCGCCGGTACACGGCACGTCGCCTCCCCCTCCCGTATGCCCCACAGCACGTACACGGTCCCTGGCGTACACTGTCCTGCGCCCATCGCGTGTTCGGGTGTCCACCGTGTACACGGTCCAGGGCCATCGTATACACGGTCAGTACACGGCCCTTGTGCGCCACTCTGTGCTCACAGCATATACACCGGCCCCGGTGTGTGTTTGGGTGTACGAGGCCCCCGGAGTGGCCTTGTACACACTCGCAGTCTCACGTACACTCTCACACGCACTCTCTCCTCGTTCTCCCTCACACTTCTCTTTCTGTCTCTCTTTCTCTCTATCACACTCTCTCTATCTCTGTGTGTCACTCTATCTCTCACACTCACTCACTCTCTCTCTCTCTGTGTCTCATATAATCTCTCTCTCTCTCTCACACTCTCTCTCTTTCTGTCTCTCTCTCTCTCTCTCACTCTCTGTCTCTCTCTCTCTCACTCTCTGTCTCTCTCTCTCTCACTCTCTTGTCTCTGTCTCTCTCCCTCTCTCTCACTCTCTCTCTCTTTCTCTCTCTCTCTCTCTCTCTCTCACTCTCCTGTCTCTCTCTCTCTCACTCTCTGTCTCTCTCTCTCTCACTCTCTGTCTCTCTCTCTCTCTCACTCTCTGTCTCTCTCTCTCTCACTCTCTCTCTCTCTCTCTCTCACTCTCTCTCTCTCTCTCTCTCCTCTCTGTCTCTCTCACTCTCTGTCTCTCTCTCTCACTCTCTTCTCTCTCTCTCACTCTCTCTCTCTCTCTCACTCTCTCACTCTCTGTCTCTCTCACTCTCTGTCTCTCTCTCTCTCCTCTCTGTCTCTCTCACTCTCTGTCTCTCTCTCTCACTCTCTGTCTCTCTCACTCTCTCTCTCTCTCTCTCTCACACACACTCTCTCACTCTCTCTGTGTCTCACTCTCTCTCTCTCCCCCTCTCTCTCCCCCTCTCCCCCCCTCTCCCTCTCCCCCTCCCCCCCTCTCCCCCTCTCCCCCTCTCTCCCCTCTCCCCCCTCTCCTCTCCCCCTCCCCTCTCTCTCTCCCCCTCCCCCCCTCTCCCCCCCCCCTCTCTCTCCCCCTCTCACCTCGAACACCTTGAGGAGGGCCCTCATGTAGAGGCGGCGAATGCCGAACGAGAGGCCGAAGATGGCGGGAACGATGATGAAGACGAGCAGCACTGTGATCCACACCGTCAGCGACACCCCGAGCAGCGTACAGAGCAGCCCGGCCGGGGAGAGGGGCAGCATGGCCCCCCCGGGGGCCAACTCCAGCCCCGGGCCTCGGCCCCGCGGCCCCGCGCCCAGGCCCGACCCCCCCTCAGCCCCTCAGGCCCTCACCCCTCACCCCCTCAGCCCAGGCCCGACCTCCCCCCTCACCCCCCCTCAGCCCGACCTCCCCCCCCCTCACCCCCCCTCCCCCCTCAGCCCCTCAGGCCTCACCCTCCCCGCCCCATCCCCCCCCCCCCCACCCCGCGCGGCCCTCCTGTACTCCGGGACTCGCTGTCACCGCGAACCGAGGCCGCGGGTCTCACTGTGTGACTCTCTCTCTCTCTCTCTGTGACTCTCTCTCTCACACTCCCTCTCTCCCTCTCAGTCCCTCTCTCTCTCCCTCAGTCCCTCTCACACTCCCTCTCTCCCTCAGTCCCTCTCTCTCTCCCTCAGTCCCTCTCACACTCTGTCTATCTCTCGCTGCTGTTGCGTCACAAACCCGCGAATCAAAGCGTTCCCTCTCCCCCCACCGTCACCTCCCACGTACGCGTGAGCGCGAGGCGACGCGCTCGCCCCCGACAGCGCCGTGAGCGCGTGGCGACGCGGTCGCCCCCGACAGTGACGTGAGCGCGTGGCGACGCGCGAGGCCCCGCCCCTCCCCGTTCCCCCGCGTCAGTCGGACAGAACGGGAGACAGCGCCACCCCGTGGCCACTGCCCCACACCGCCGGCGCGGGGACGGGAGAGAGCGCCCTCCTGTGGCCGCGGCGGGTTTCACACACACGCACACACCCGTTGCCGTGCCCTGTGGCGGCGGCTGCTGTGTGGCGGAGTGGCCACAGGAGGGCGCCGTCCCCCTTCAGTTCCACTGAGTCTCTCTCCAGGTCAAGAGAGAGACAATCAATCAATCAACCAATCAATCAATCAATCAATCAATGGACAGACACATTGGTTGGTCGGAGGTAAAGTGGTGCGGCGAAGGGACCGGGCGTTGACGGAACCGGCCGGGTGGGCTGAATGGCCTCCTCCCGGTCCCGCTCCCCCCGGTGCCGCGCGGGGCGGCAGAGCCCGGGACGTGCGTTGCGCCCTTTTCCCGAACGCGAGGGTAGCAGCGGCGACGTCGGTGTGGGTCGTGGGGGTCCCTTCCGCGCCTGTCTCGCGGGCGCACTCCGCTCCGCTGCCGGGCGGTTGGCGTCGTTGTGGAGAGAGCTGACGTCTTCGCCAGAGAGAGAGAGAGAGAGAGAGAGAGAGCCGTCGGGAAGGGCTTCGGGAACTGACCGACGCCGGGAGCCGGTGATGGTGCGGAGGAAGGAGACGGTTCGGGCAGGGAAACGCGACGCAGCAAAAGTATTAACGGGGGCGAGAGAAAAAAAAACAAAGTGAACCGTCCGAGCACAGGCGGTCAGGGGGAGAGTGAAGCACATCCCCGTCACTCCACTTGACAGTACGTTCTGTCCGTGAAGCGCTCTGAGATGTCCCCAAACCATCTGAAAAGGCACTATGTCCAATGCCAGGATTATTATTGTTGTTGTTATTATTATTATGTGGGATGAAGAGTTGTTGGAGTGAGCTTCTGCTTTGCCGAGTGTCTTGTATTCCATCTTTTCCCCCCTCCCATCACTGTCCCCCCCCCCCCACACACACACACACACAAAAACGGGGACAGGCCATTGGAGTGAGTGGTCGTGAGAAGATAAATAAAAGGTCAGAGAACATTTGTTTGACCGTTAATAATCCCAGTCATCGTCAACAGTGTCTGAATGTATTGCCTTCAGCGAAGGCATCAAACCTAATTCCTGTCTGTACCTGTTCAGGTGGGCGTTAAAGATCCAACTAAAAAGAGAAGGCAGTTTCTTCGACTCTGTTGCTGGACTCACTCACTGACAAAGCCCCCGCCCTAGAAAAAAAATAATTGATCTTTTGTTTCTCGTGCGACACCGCTGTGCACAGTTATCTGCTACGAAATACAGTCACTCCATTTCCACAAGTGAAATCCCACTGCCCGGCTGAAGGACTCAGTGTAAATAATAATCCATTCATTTGCTATAGCGCCTTATCACATCTTCAAGACGTTTCACAGAACATACTGTAAAGCGAATTGACTATATATTTTGTCGGAAACATCTATCCTTTACTACAAAGTGCCTTCCCGCCCCCCCCACCCCTCCCTCTACAGACAGAGGCTCAGTAAGCTCTGCATTTAGTGTTCCAGCAATCTTCATCATTCATCACTGATTTATAATAAACCCCGGACAAAGTCATTTAATTTTGGCTTTCTGGCCAGTCTCCAAATACTCTTTAGTGGGGGGAAGGGATGAGTTTGTCATGGAAACATGCTCTGGGCTGATCAATCTCCTTTTATTGCAGGCAGCAGACAGAGGATCGATGATTTGTACATAACCAGACTGGCCGGACTTGCGACACAGACTTGCGCGAGGCAAGTAAATATGAGCCGAGATCAAAGCCCAGCTCAGCCCAACCCCGTCACGTCGAGGTTGATCCCCACAGATCCACTGCCCCCCTTCACTTCAGGGTCGATGAGTATATTCGAGAGACAAAAAGGGAGTTCCCCCCCCCCGTCACTGTGCTAACCCTCAAATCCTACATCGGCATTTGTTTCACGGCTGTTTGTGGGGGCTATCGCCGCGCGCCAATGGGCTGCAGCATTCGCCCACAAAGCACAGTCACTGCACTTCACATAAGCTGCGAAGCGCTGAGAGACGTCCCCCCCCTAAAGTGCTGCGTCAAACAATCCTCGTATTTGATACAGTGCCTCATCACGTCCTCAAGAGGTTGCGAAGCGCTTCACAGGATATACGGTAAAGTGTAGTGACTGCATTTTGTGAGTTTCACCCATCAGTTTGTTAACTCGATCCACGACTGTTTGTGGGGCACCGCTGTGCACGATTGGCTGATGCGTTTCGCCCACAAAAATACATTCACTCCACTTTACAGTATATTCTGCGAAGGGCATTGAAACGGCTCAATGACGAGATAAGGCGCTATATAAAATAGGATTGTCATCAAAAAGGATTCCGAAGGGTCTGAAGCCATAGTCCCACAGCTGCCCCCAGGCCCCCACCGCAGCCCAATAAAGCTCCAAGAGAACATAGACGATGCTTAGCTCCTGAGCAACGAGGACAGTTTTACGATGGTGATAAAGAGGTTGGGGAGGGATCACTGCTGGAAACCAGAGGAGGAAAATAGGAACGGAACGACTGGCGATAAATTGCAACGCTGTTAATTCAGCGCTCGTCACCCACCCGCCCGCCCGGCACCAATTTCGTGGCTTAGGGATTCGAGTTTGCCTTTCTAAACCGACTGGCGTCTCTCGCAGCATGGCAACAACTTGCCCTTCACGCAGGGCAGGGCCCCAGAGCGCTCGCCCCCGAGCCAGAGGGGGAGGTGACCGAAAGCACGGCCGTAGAGGAAGGCACGACCTGAAGATGGGGAAGGAGCCGGGGGTGGGGGCAAGAGGCGGAGGGAGAGAGAGGAAGAATGTTCCAGAGTTTCGGGGCGTCGTGGCTGAAAGTGCGGCTATCCGGTCACAAAACATTTGTATTGTGCGACTTTCAAAGCCAAGAAGCGTAGCCGCCTGTGGTATAAAAGGACGCGTTTCCTGGAATTCACTGCAGCTATTTGCTCACACTGCGGAATTGACATCCACTCGAGATTACCATTGCACCACAAATAAAACCTTTAGTGACCCATTGTTATTGACTGCCATGGGTGTCGATTGCTTTTGTTCCCCTCCGCTCTACTTACATCCGCCTCCAGACACCATCCCCTCCAGCTCTCACACCGAACATCAACGCGTCTGGCTCCCCTTATTTAGATGCGGATTAGCGGTCGGATGGGGAGACATTCCTCTCGGGTTCGAAACCCACTATTTATGCCACGTCTCAAAGGGAGTGCAGAAACTGGGGCCAATTCTTCAGGCGTAACCTTGAAGCTATTTTATTTTGTGGAGTGCTGTGGCTCGGTGGTCAGCGCTCTCGCCTCGCAAGCGGGAGGACCTGGGTTCGATTCCCGGGCGGGTCAGGGTGAAACCTTGGGAGGGTTTCCTTACTCCATAGACGCGCACACACACGCCTCTGTAAACCGAGCAGTAAGTAGGAACTCAGTTGTTAGTCAAATGGTGGGTTGCTTTCAGGGGGGGGTAATAAACCCTCCAAATGAGTCCCATGAATCGCCATTGGACCCCCCAAATGTAGCGGATGCTACAATAAAGTCAGTCACTTTGCCTCCGAGACAGAAACACACACTCGATGATGAAGAGATTTCAATGGACATTGGTGGGGAGAGGGGGGAAAAAAATCAAACACGAAACTGATTCCCTTCATAAACTTTATTTTCTTTTAATACAAAATAGCAACTAATAACCTGCCACATCCTATTTAATACAGTAAGAAATACGCAGCCCAAGCAGACACTGATAACCCCTCCACCACTCTCCTTTCCTACCCACTCCCAGATATGGACAGAGAGGGTCAGCGAAATTCCTGAGCCCCAATGAGACATCTCCTGTACTGCAGTCAGTCAGACATCCGTTAACAAGAGCTCTCGCCAGTGCCTCGTTCACTCAAGTCTTCCCATTGACTGAGTTGAGGCAATCCTCATGCTTTAAGCCACACAAAAGACCCACAGACACCAATTCTGAAGTAACACGTCACTTCATATGGGGGCGGCGGGAGGGAGAGAAGAAAGAGAGAGAAATACCCTGTATGGGTTATTAGATTAAAAACAACCTCATAGCCAGATTCCTAACAGAAGAGTGTACATTCCTGCTGAACCATGACATTTCCCAACCAATCACCCAATTTTTTTTTTTTCACAACCGTTAATAAACAACTGTTTCCCCATTTCCCCCCAATTGCATGAACGTTTCCAAGATGTTTTTCTCATTCTAACACTTACACCCAACACAACACAGACACCCAACACAACACAGACACCCAACACAACACAGACACCCAACACAACACAGACACCCAACACACCCTACCATGCCTGGAGCTTCTGTTAGAAGTTGCCTTGGGTGTGTTAATGGTGTGACCTGCACTGCAACTAACACAAGGCAACTGTTCCAAGGCAGGAACATCTATCTATCTTAAGCTACGGCCTATTTTGACGCATTCCACATCTGCCTCAAACACCAGAACAGAAGCACAGTGAGCTCAGTGAAGCGAATATGGGTGTATTCAGAAGGAAATTAGAACAAACAAAGACAACAGACCAAGAAATCTGATCAGATGAGATGTTCTACTCCATTCAAACCTCACATTGATACTTGGCTCATTCCCCCAACTCTTCTCGCCAACCCCCAACACATACAATCTCCCTCTCTCACACACACAAAAAGTTCTTCAATATGAAGAAGTTTGGATAGATCTTCCAGTCCGCAAACAGCTGAATCTTCCAATGGCACCAAGCACACAACGACGAGTTTCCTAATGGATCTGTTCCATGACATTTGCTCACATCTGCCCACAGCAGCACAGGTGTGTACACTCACCACCACAACTCCAACCTTCCCGCCCACCCCCAACTTCCCAAACAGCTTCTCAAAGGCTTTCCTTTGGCAACTTTTAACACACTTGTTTCTCCCACCACCCACTCCAAGACCATCAAAAAAAAATGACATTGTTGTGCCCGACAGGGAGAGACGCCAGAACACGAGTGAGAGAGTGTGTGGACCGAGTCATGACAACAAGCAATTGGGACGAGTACACAAGACACCAGAGACAGAAGGCCGCGGTGGGGGAAGAGAACTTCCTTCAATATTGCACCACGCGAGTAGTTACAGAAAGGGTTCGGGATGTGATTTAGATGCCACAAAATTGTCATCTCTATGAGCTGTTTCGAATGTCAAGAACGCTGTGTTAACCCAGCGAGAGAGAGGAGGCAGATGTCTTCAACGTGAGGATACAACGCAGGGTCCTTCCTCGCTCCGCTCAGCCCAGGGAGAGAAGTCACAGCGAGTGGACGGGGATGCAGTGCGGTCCCTTTACGAACACGATGGGAACAGAATGGAGGGATGACACGCAATGTAACATTGCCAGAGGATGAGGTGCCTGGTCAAGGAGAAGGAGATTGGGCGGGGGGGGTGAGGGGGGCGCTCAGCTGGGGGTTCTCGTGTCAGGTACCACAGTACATCAGTCCCTGCCAATGATTCCCGCACAGGCATGAACTTTGCAGCTGGTTCGATCGTCTAGACAGTCAGTCAACTGAATGTCAAGCACAGGGAACTCAATGAGAGAGGAGAGAGTTGGTGGGCACCATTCACTGCACCTTGCAAGGCATTTCTCTTCACCAAATGCATCTCGAGCGAGCTGGCTTTAGACAAAGACTTTTTCTTTTGGACTCGACGTTGATTCCAGAGGACGTCAGGCACAACAAACACTGAGAACGTTAGTCTGGTGGTGGTGGTGCCTTAAATAAAAATAGCACAGGACAGTGTCTGACTGGATCAAAAAGCTGTCGGGAGGGTAGATTGTGGTGTCTGGGAGGGAGTTTGGGGGGTGAGAGAGAAGTCCTTAAAGTCCCAAAGTCACACACGCGCTCTTTAGTGTAAGAGTGAGTGGGTCACAGCCACTGCCTGGCTGGCCACATGATGTTGGGTTAAAAGTTACGGCTAAAAAAAACTGGTGGGCGGTCGAGATGACGGTGGGTGGGGGGGCGTTGGGGTTTGGTGGTGATGATTTGCGAAGAGGAGGCTTAGAGGGATCTCTACCAGAATCCGGCGTGATCAAACCTGCCCCAGCTCTGCCACTGAGAGAACAAGACGCTGGCAGCTCGCGGGCTTCCAAACTGCTCAAACTCCAACTGCTGGGCCTGGCTCGGGCTGGGGCTGGGGCAGCGAACAGGAACCTCCTTGCTGGCTTGAGGTGACTGATAGCCGCTGGCCACAATGCGGTAGTTCTTCCCCTCGTGGTTGTCCCAGTAGCTGTGCTGACCGCACTGGTAGCGCACGCAGAACTCGACCCTCTCGTGGAGCGGGAGGTCGTCAGGGAGGCCGATGTGGAAGGAGAAGGTGTCCAGGTCACCGGGGCAGTAGCGGCTCCTCAGGTAAGTGCAGGACACGTCGCGGAAGCTCTTCCAGGTGTCGAAGGTGATCCTGATGGCCACCGTCTTCTCGAAGCCGATGTTCTTGACCTTGACCGTGCCCGAGAGGGACCTATGGTGGACGCTGCAGTTCTCGAGGCAGACCGAGGCTCTCTGCAGACGGGTCTGGAAGCCGAGGTAGTCGGCGGAGGGCTGGGGGCCATCGAACACCAGCATCTCTTCCTTGATGCTGGAAACCCCCGGTGTGCAGCCCGCCAGGTCCGACAGCTCGAACTGAAGGTCAGACAGATCATCCTCAAACTCGGAGAAGACCCGCACAGCCGTGAGTGAGAGTCCCTTCGCGTCAGCGAAGATCACCCTCTTCTGGCCGGGGCTCCGCGACCGCCGGGTGTCCCAGCGTTGGCCACCGAGCCCTGGCTCGCTCTTGGGGTTCAGGCACGGTCTCAGAGGTTTGAGCCTGGGCACCGAGCCACCACGGAACTCCCTGAAGCTCAGGAAGCTGTGGACAGGCGGGGAGTGGCTTAGGCAAATCCTCATGGCGATGTCTACAGGCACAACAGGGGAGGGGATGTGCCTGGCACTGAAGACGTTCAAAACCCTGGAGACAACAAGAGAGGGGGGGGGGGACACAAGAGAAGATGTTTACTCTGGAATCCACATTCAGTTCACAAGCTCATCCAGTCACACTCACTCCTGGACTCCTAATAACCCTTACACTCAATCCAGCGTCTTGGAGACGTCTCAAAGCGCTTCACAGGATATACTGCAAAGTGAATTGATTGTATGTTTTGTGGGCGAAAGGCAGCAGCCAATTGCACACAGCAGCGTCCCCCCCACAAACAGCCCTGGATTGAGCGACCAGATTTTTTTTTTTGAAGGGATTATTAACCCGGGAAAAGCGATCCGCCAATAGACTCCCAACTGCGTTCCCACTTACTGCTAAGTAAACAAGAGGCACGTGTGCGCGCGCGCGTGCGCGCGCAGTAAGGAAACTCGCCGACGGTTTTGCCCTGACCCGCCCGGGAATCGAACCCAGGTCCTCTCGCTTGCGAGGCGAGAGCTCCAGCCCCTGAGCTACAGTTCCTGTCACTTCACAGTCATTTAGGGGACATGGCTCCTACCCCTAAATATACAGTCACTACACTTTACAATAAATCCTGTGGAGCGCTTCAAGGTGTACACAGGACACAATAAAGACGCTGTATCAAATCCTATCAATTATTATGGGAGCGGGGATTGGGAGGGTGGAGTGTAAACACCGACATGAACCACTTGGACCAAAGAACCCATTTCTGAGCTGTAACATTTGATGTAATTCTATGTCATTTAGAAATCCGCTCATATTACAGACTCCAGAAGCACTTGAGGTTTTACAGTCAGGAGCAACAGACTTGTTAAAATACCTGGGGCGTTCCCACCCAGTCTTAATTGAGCAAAGCCAAGGGCAAACCAAGACATGAAAGGAACAAGCTTAGCTAAAACATCAGCCCGGCTCGATTGGGAGAGAGGTTTAACGTCTCATCCGAAGGACACTCTGAAGCCTACAAATGGGACAGACAATGCAATCAGGAGTCGGTTACGGGAGATGGTGAAACAAACTTATTAAACAAAAAAAGATTAACCTGCAGTAAACGGAGATAACGGACGCCTATAGAAGGTGGCCAAGCAGAAATACCAACCGTAAAAACCTTCCGCTGGGCCTCAAAGAGCCTTTTATTGGGAATAGTTACTCTCCAAGGCACCTGTGATCTAGGTTTCAATTGGATTGCTCTGATCTGATCAGATAGAGAAGTCAACCTGCACTGTTTGTCAAGCGGTAAAACCCAGAGACGCACACTAAAGGGAAGAGAACACAAATGCTCTCCGGCCCGGCACGGGAACCCCTGGCTGTGTATTAACAAGCTCTCCGTTCAAAAACCGGCAGGGCCTTCATAATTTGGAGAATGAACACTTTGTGCCTTCTTTGAGCCCCTGTGTTCCTCTCTCTCCCCCCACTCCCATACAGAAATAGCCTAACAAGACATCCAAACATTGAGTTATTGCTACACACACTCTCTCTCTCTCTCGGAGGGAGGTTTACACAGCTCAGCTCAGACAGGTCACAGCTGGAAGGGAGATCGACAGCTCTCTCTGCATTACAAGATCTGCAACAGAGCTGCCGCATGCATTCCTCTTTATTAAGTAAATTCCTTCATATGTGCGAAGGGAGGGTTTGCAAAGAAATTTTTCACGTTGCTCTACAAAGACTTCATTGTGTTCTTACCTGCGCGTCCCTCCTCTACCCAATATTTTTGCTCTCATCCTCTCTCAATAGCTTTCTCCCCCACTCCCCGAATCTAATCACTCACACATATACACACTCTTTCTCTGGCAAGTTTCCTTACTCCACAGGCCTTTGTTGAATAAGTAGTAATAAAAGCAATTAATAATTTAATAAGCAGGAACCCAGTTGTCAGTCAATTGGCAGATCACTTTCTGGGGGTAATAATCCCTCCAAAAGAAATGACCACTCAATCCACGACTGTTTGTGGGGCACCGCTGTGCGCAATTAGCTGCCGAGTTTCACCCACAAATCACGCAGTCAATCCGCTATACAATCTACCGTGAAGAGCTTCGAGACGTCTCGGAGACATGATAAGGCGTGATATCAAATGCTAGGATTATTATCACAAAAGTTACAGCAGAAATGATCCGCAGCTCATCAAGTGGCAAACAGAAGCTTCTCTTAATTGGACCTACTTGTGGCCACAGCAACTAACAGTGGGATAACTTCTCCCCCCACAATTATTATCATCTGTGTTTGTGTGGAGAGGACAAATCAATGGATGGATTGACCCGACCGGCCAGCGTGGAACTGAGTCCTCTTATGAGTAACCTAATGATTACTCTCCGTCCTATGTATTGAAACCACCTTAAATATGGTAGAGAGTGGTGGTGGGGTGGGAATCATTCTAATCAGCTAAAACCTTACTCAGTTCCACCCCCCACCCCCCCAATGACCTGATCATCAACAGAGATACCACCTCACACTGCTGAGAGTTTAGAGGTCTTCTAAAAAGGTGCAAATATTCTTCTCCAAGTTACGAATCCAATTTTCGAACCAATGAGCCCCAATCTTTAGAAGTTTCTACAACTGATCTGCTTCTCTTCTCTCCCCCATCACCCCCTCCCCCTCCAAAAAAAAACTCACAAGGTAGCTAAACTATGTCTGGTAGCTGAACTATCTCCCCTTGTATAATCTGCCTCTACTTTATTACCACAGACATGTACATTTCTCCCCCACCAGAGGAGTGAATGCAAGTGACTGACTCCAACTGCAAATAATTAGCAAACACTATTCTGAATAATCTCTCTCTGTGTGGAACATTTCAATCTGAAACCACTCCAATTGCTTAGGGGAAACCGGTTTAGAAATCAATAACCCTTCAGCAAAGTTGTCTGCACCTCTTTAGGATTTGCAACACACGATTTTTAAACCCCTTTTTTAATTTGCATTTAATTTACTGGAACTGGACAACTCATTTCCCCCTTTCTTTCTTGTGCAACTTTCACCCATTGCAAAGTTCCTTTAAAGGGGTCACAGCTGAAAAAACTCCTAGAGAGGCAATTGCTAGCTTTTAAACCAAAAAAAAACACACACACAAACTTTTTTTTGGTTAAAAAAAAGCAAAAAAAATGCAAATAAAACAAACCTGAAGATTTAAAAGTTTCATTTCCTTAAACACACAAATGCGTATATTATGTATATAAATAAAAATACATAAACCTGGACAATCCTTGCAAGTTCAGTACTTACTCTGTGCAACTCATAGAGACGGTAGAGAGAGAGAGATGGTTTAAGGAGAGGGTGTGTGAGAGTGGGGCACACAGGGGTTCTCAAGAATATTACTGGGTGGTTAGTGAGGAGAGCTCTCTCATACTCCCTCACTCTCCCCTGATGTGCCCCACAATAAATTTCTGCTGTGCTCCAGCTGGGAATAAAACCTCCAACTCCGCCTTTCCCTCTACTGAAACCTATTCCTCTCTCACAAGAACCAATAGCTAATAGGAAAGGTCAGCTGAAGCAATCAGATACCTCCTAATGTTACCACCAGCCCCTGATCCACCACACTGCTTCCAAACAGGCTGATAGTCCCTACCCATGTTGGATTGGAGGGGGATTCAAAGTGTTATTTAGTTCACTCGTTCATTTATTCAGTCATTCGTTCGTTATTATTGCTGTGCGGCGCAAATTGGTTGCCGTGCTTGCCCGCCCTGAGATGCTTTGAGATGTCTCAACCACGTGATAAGGCGCTGTATAATAAATGATAATCCTCGCATTTAATAGAGCGCCTTATCACGACTTTGAGACGTCTCAAAGCGCTTCCCAGGATATACTGTAGAGTGAATTGACTATGTTTTGTGGGCCAAACGCGGCAGCCAATTCCGCACAGCAGCGTCCCCACAAACAGCCGTGGATTGAGGTGACCAATTTATAATTGTGATATGAAATGCGAGGATTATTATGATGATTATGATGATTAAAGGCAGGGATTGTTATCTTTATTCTTATCCTTGTTGAACCATTTCTTACAGCTCCGGTCACACGTGGAGGATACCTCACAGATCTTGGCAGGATTTACTGTATTTCGTAGGCAAACACAGCAGCCGATTTGCACAGGACAATGTTTCACAAACATGAAGTGAGCGGCCAATTTTATTTGGGGGATTGTGGGCCAGGACAGACTTTTCCCTTCTCCTTGGTTTAAAGTCTCATCCCCTGACATTGCAATGCTCCACCACCCCAGAACTGTCACCCTAGAATGTGAGCCTAAAGTCCCAATGTGGGGTTTCGAACCCACAACCTTCTGACTCAGAAGTGAGAGCGTTACCGACCGAGCCAGGCTGACACCTGCCTGCGGGTAGAGAACGTCTGGCAGGGCGTGAGTTACGCCTGAGTGTATGCGACGCTCTTTCTCGGCGATGTCGTGCTGAACGGCAAGTGGATTTGAGTGCGAATGGCTTTGCAGTCTGTCTGTCAATATCACCTTGTGATGCTTCCCCTCAGGACATTGATGTACATCACTGCGCTGCAAACCAATAGATCATCCAACAGTAACAAATCCAACGCAACCGCTATAAAGATGGCAATCCTTTCTTTCACATACGATACAAATACAAAATGACATTTACGCAGTGCCTTTCACGTCAGAAGGACGTTCCAAGGTGCTGGACGGTTAGGGATTTGGAGCTGGGGGTTGGGATCGGGAGGGGTTTTGGGCAGGGAGGCTGGGGGTAGGGGTGTGGACGAAGGCATGGTTGAAGAGGAGGGTCTTAAGACATGCCTTGAAGGAGGCAAGGGAGGGTGCGAGGCGGAAGGTCTATGGGTTGGAGTTCGAAAGGGTTGGGGGCAGTGAGGCTGAAGGCCTGACCGCCGATGGTGGAGGGGGTGTGGGGGCACATGGAGCAACAATAACAACAACAACTTGCATTTATGTACAGTCCTTCACGTGGGGTAGGACACCAGAGCACCCGAGCAGGCCGCAGCTCCTCAAGACGTGTGTGGAGGCATCCCTAAGGTACCTTTCAGACAGGCTTGGTGTATTCTGAGGTGCGTTGAGTTCAGACTAAGCCAAGGACTCTGTTGCCGCCTCGTAAACCCACTGCACTGTGAGTCTGTATTTATTAACCCTCGGCCCAGCTCTACCAGATTTTACAGCTTGAAGCCAGCAGCAAAGCCGAGGTCAACGAGTTCAAGAATTCAGCTCAATCATTGTTGTCTCTGTGAGGCCCTGCGTTCGTCTGAGGGCTCTTATCCGAATCATCTTCTCTACCCACATTAGAGGGTGTTTTCGTTTGCTCCAATACTGGAATTTCTTAGGAAAAAATAATGACCGTTAACATGTTCAGGATTGCTTTGAACATAGTTGCTTTGCAATCTGCTTTTCCTCAGTTTCCTTCCTTTTAATTTCATTTCGCACCCCTCCTCCCCACCCCCCGCCCAACGCCCCCTCCCCACTATCCACCCTCTCGCTCACACCCCACACCCCCCAGACTTTTCCGGAGGGAAATGGAGTCAAGCTCACAGTCTCTGCCTGAAGACTGACAGTTCGGAAGGGATTGATCGCTTTCCCGGGGATGGTAATCCCTTCAAACAAATAAATGGATAAAATCATAATAATTTGGTCAATCAATCCATGATCCACATGGACGTTGGGGACGTTGCTGTGCGCATTTCGCTGTATCAAATGCAAGGATTATTGTAAGCTCTGCGTGCACCCACTGGCAACACATGGATTGCAACGTAAACACTAGCCCAGGGGCAACGAAACAAGGCCAATTGTAGCTTGCCCATCACCACACCAGCTGAGATCCATCAAGCGAGGGATTAAATCTGGGACCTCACTCGGACCTCAAAGTGACTTTTATCATGGGAAAGACCGAAAATTATTTCTGTAACAGCTGCTGATGTGTTACATTCCAAACCCAACCCTGAACGCAAAGAATTTGTAGTCTGCCAGATTTCATTCACCCCTTCCTCCCCCACCCCCCTCCCCTCCCCTCCCCTCCACAGCTCAGTGGGAAATTGGGGGTGTGAGATGAGTGCAAAACTAGACAGACCTGCTGCTGTCTCTACCACTCACCAAATATCAGGCCAGGCTAGCTGCCAAGAGGCTAATGATAATTAATAATAATGATAATTCTTCCCTGTAACACAGCAGCTTATCACATTGGCTGCTGCATTTCACGCACAAAATACACAGTCAATTCACCTTACAGTGTCTCCTGTGAAGCGCTTTGAGACGTCTCGAGCTGCTATAACAACTGCAAGGATTATTATTATTATAACCTTTTCCACTGAATGCCGCAAACGCCTCTGAATACACTTTGCCAGTAGAAATCACACAATGCAGATAATAATTGTAATAATAATCCTTAATAACAATCCTTACATTCGATGCGGCACCTTTCACGTCAGGAGGGCGTCTCAAACCACTTCACTGTAAAGTGTAGTGACTGTGTTTTGTAGGCGAAAGATTATCGCTTTCACAGGTGCGGACTTCAAACTGAGGACATCAAAGAGGAGAGAGATTTACGCCCACTCACCTTTGAAAGTCATCAAAGGAGCAAAAAGTACAGGCTGGACAAAATAGCACATGTGGACCCAAGAATCAAAGATGTGTCCTGAGGTCCACTAGCCAAAGGCCTAATGGTTCAGGTGGCCCGAGGTTGGGCAGGTATGAAATGACCAGTGCTTTGTACACACTGAAGAGCATCAGCGTGCAATTCTACGCGGAGGTTGAATCTCGTTGTACCCCTTCTTTCAGCGACAGATGAATTATTTCACAAAGGGTATAAGGCAGCGTTTTGAAACCACCGGTTTCCTAACAGGAATTATTGTGTAATCATTGAAGCTTTTAGTGCAATTCCCGATTTGCTGAGTTGATCACTAACCAATGGCACCCGATGAACAATGTCGAGTGGTCAGATAAGGGTTGGATTGAATCCCATTATTATTGAGTCACTTGCTGTCTCACTATTTACACTCAGGCACAAAGTATAGCCACAAAAGTGACTGAATAGGATATTAATAACAATCCTTGCATTCGATATAGCATCTTTTGCCCACAAAATACATAGTCAATTCACTTTACAGTATATTCTGTGAAGCTCTCATCGAGACATCTCGAAGACGTGATAAAACGCTGAATCAAATGCAAAGGTTATTATTATCACGTCGTTGAGACGTCTCAAAGCGCTTCAAAGATATACCGTAGCCTGAATTGACTGTACAATTTGTGGGCGAAACGCGGCAGCCAATTGCGCACGGCAGTCGCGGATTGAGTGGCCAAATTGTTTTCTTTTGGACAGGTTTATTACCAACCCTTGTAAAAGCAATCCGCCAATCGGCTCACAACCATGTTCCTGCTAACTGCTAGGCAAACAGAGGAAACTTGCCCAAGGGATCAAACCCAGGTCCTCTCGCTTACACCGGTGCTCTAAACACTACGCTACAGGACTCCACGTAGAAGAAGCGTCAACAAAACCCAGCGACTTCAGGAGATCAGGGAAGAAAGTTGGACGGTACTTTGTCTGAAATTAAAATCTTCTGAGCTCCTGGAGGTGGCTCAGTTGGTAGCACTCTCGCCTCTGTTTCAGAGGGCTGTGGGTTGGACCCCCACTTTGGGGAGTCTGAGCTCACGGTCTACGCTGTCCTTCGGTCGAGACCTTCTACCCATATTGCCTGTTCAAGTGGGCGTTAGAGATCCTGCGATGTCCCTCTCATTTTTTTTCTGCTGAAGGTGACGGGGTTCCTCATTTTCCTTCCTATTACCCGCGCCCATTGTTTGGGGATGTGGGAGCCCTGTGCAATACAAGTGCCCAATGATATAATCACGGTTTCCCCATGAAGAATCCCAGCACAATAGCGAGGAAATGCTGCAAGGAAGCAAGGGGACTCGGAATAATATTTTGCTTTCAGTCATAAAGAACCGGAAGATCTTTACTGCAGACCTAGTCTGTGTTGACTTAGCTGATCTTTGGCAGGCAGCGGAGCAGAGACTAAGTTAGCCTCTTAAACCCGACATTATGTCGATTGTATCTGCAGCTCACCCACTGGTGTGGGGAGGAGGGGGGTGGGGGGGAGGTGGGCCGGAGGGGGGCCGCGGGGGCCCTATCTGTCACAAAATTCACAGTGTGTGTGTGTTAAACGAGCGAGAGGACCCAGGATCGATGATAGATAGATAGCTAGATAGATAGATAGATAGATAGATAGATAGATAGATAGATAGATAGATAGATAGATAGATAGATAGATAGATAGATAGATAGATAGATAGATAGATAGATAGATAGATAGATAGATAGATAGATAGATAGATAGATAGATAGATAGATAGATAGATAGATAGATAGATAGATAGATAGATAGATAGATAGATAGATAGATAGATAGATAGATAGATAGATAGATAAGCCTGAAGGACATGACATTTGTTGCAATTTTGGCTTTTCTGCTGA